AGAGAGGTTACTTGTTGCAAGTGTGAGCCTATGTCTGTCCCTTATACACATCTTTTAAAAATTAATTTATATAAAATAATAAAAATTAATTTTTATTTTAATATTATTATAATGTAAATAATTTTAATTAATTAATTAATTATATTTAAATTAATTTTTATTATTTTTATATAAATTAATTATAAAAAAATATATTTATTATATATTTATTCTGTTTCTTAAAATATAAGATAAAAATCCCTTATTTAAAAAATAAAATCAAGGTAGCCGCAACCGGACCCAACCTATGACTTTAACGCCTTGCTGAGCTGGCCAGAGGCTCAGTATTACGAAGGTTCCGTCTAATTCCAAACAACTTTTAGGTTTCATCCAGCCTCTTCCGCGCTTTCAAAGTTCCAAAATATTACCGAGTATTTTTTTTTTTTAAATTTACACTAGGAGTATATTTTGATTAATTTTTATGTATTTTGAGCCCTCTAGCCAATATTAAAAACACATTTTACCTCCACAATAAATGATTAATTTAAATGAAACATCTTAATATTCCTTAAATAAAATCTTAACTTTAAATGTTATAAATAAAAAAATAAACACCCTTTACATATTAATGCAGTATATTAAAAAAATTAATTTTTTAATTGACTGCCACAATAATTGAATCTAATTTTTATAAAGTAATATTATTTATTAATAAATCTTACATTGCATTTAAATCTGAGTAAGTAATCTTCCTCTTTCTTCTCTTCCCGTTATATGAGTTCCAGCGCCCATCCAATTTTTCATCCATATATTTCCGGTAGAAGTTTGTGTTCCATTCATCTGCAGACATGAGTGACCCAAAGTACGCTTATCCTGCTCAACCTTATCCTGCTCAACCTTACCCTGCTCAACCTTACCCTCCTCAAGGTCCCCTTTTTCCTTTTCCTTCATCCTTTCCGCTGTTATTTTTCTGTGTCACAGATTTTTCATTACTCTAATTAAGGGATGATTTCGAGTTTGATTCTTGTTGCCAATCTTTTTCTTTTATAAGGGATGAATTTTTTAAGATGTTAGATTTTCAATTTTGATAGTAATTTATTGATCCATATTGTTGATCTTTAAGAAGTTTCTGGATTTTTTTGGGTCTTTCCCTTTCCACTCTCATTCTGCTCTAAAGTTTCTTGTTTTTGATGGACAGGTTATTATCAAGGACCCCCGGTAATGGCACCTCCACAGTACGCAGCTCCACCTCCCAAGAGAGAACCAGGCTTTCTTGAAGGATGGTAATTTGATTTCTCTTCCTAGCTACCATGCTGTGTATGAGCTGCTTTTTTTTCTTTTTTTTTCCTCTCTATTTTCTTTGGTTTAACATATCTTTTTGCTTTTTGCGTTGACTTTGTTGTTTCAGTCTTGCGGCTTTATGTTGCTGTTGCCTCATTGATGAGTGCTGCTGCGACCCTACCGTCTTCTGTGTCTGTTAGCTCTATATATTGTGTATTTTCAGTGCAATAATCTCATCTCTATTTCAGATGTGTGATGATATTTCGTGCATTATGAAAAGCTTGAAGACTGTTCTTGTGGGATCGTACGTGTTGATTTTTATGAGTATATTTTATGTCAGACTTCTTGGATGCTTAATTTCTTAAAATTTCGATTTTTTCCTTTAATTTCCCGTTCTTTATACCATTTTCCATGGTGGAAGTGATCTTCACTTCCCATTTTCTAGCTTGGTTTCAATAAATTCCTCCCTATAACAAGACATCATGTTAGTCATATCTCTCATCCATTAATATAACCACAGGTCAGTATGTGGGACTCTTACTTAGAATTTAATTGTAGAATTTTCTCCTTGTTTCCTTCTTTCAAAATCATGGTAGGTGAGATTAGAGGTATGTGGATTTGCTTTGCTCTAGGGATTATTGGTAGGTGATAAATGAAACAACAGTTTGGTGGTTTAGTTGCTTTAGTTGTGGCCATTAAATAGGGATGGCAACGGGCCTTGCCGATCTGGAAGTGCTTTCTTGTAATGCCCCAAATCTCACATCGATGAGAAATTTTTGAGAGAATATTTGAAGATTAATCACTATTAACAACTTAAACCTGAGTTTTTAAGAGTATGTGGATCTTAACTTGAAGAGTTGTTAAGTTAGTAGTGGCTTTCGGTCCAAGTCATTTTAGTTGGTATTAGAGAGGTTACTTGTTGCAAGTGTGAGCCTATGT